TCCTCCTCGCACACCAGTGTGTTGCTTTGAATATTTTTACTTTGGGTCCCTAATTTTTACTTCAACTACAGAGAGACAAGCTTTATATAAATAATTTTGTACAGAAACTCTAATGCTAATTACTTCAGACATTGAATCATGAATGCCTAACAATGTTGTCACTATGTTTCTTCTCTAGGTCTGTGACATGTCTTAGGCAAAGAATTGGCAGGTGTAGTGCTGGTGCCCTTTGGTAGAACATTTTCTTCTATCTAATAAAAACCTGGACTGTGCCTTTTGCCAAACACTTAATGCCAAGCTCTGTTTCTCATCTTCCCCTGTTATACTTCATCTAATATATTGTTTTTTCTATCACATGTCAAACATCCCATCCTATCCTCTCCCAAGAAGTCCCTATAATCACAATGCTTAGTCTATGATTTTGAACCTCAAAGTTTGACTCTAGACTATCAGAGCTGTAACACACATCACACAGGGCATAAGAGAGAGGGATGAGGTGTAGGAGTTGCTATATACTTACTAAGACTCTGATTCTGAGATCCACATTAAAAAATGAACAGGTACTTTTCTAGTGCTGGGGAAGAAAGTTTATTGGGGCTAACTTACAATTTCAGAGGGTCAGTTCACCATGACCATCATGGTGGAAAGATGGTAGCAGGAAGCAGGGAGGTTCTAGAAGGCAGTTAATTGATTACATATTGAAACAACTACCATGGTGCAGAGTGGCAGATAGCTAACTGGAAATGGCATAGGCTTTTGAAACCGCCAAGGTGACCTCCTCAAGCATAACCACACCACTTATGTCCTTCCCAAAAAGTTCTAACAAAGGAAGAAACATGTGCTAATTGGTTAAGGGATTTTTAAGTAACTGTAAGTGAATCTTAAGTAAATAAAAATACTTACATTAAATGATTTTTCTTTTTCATAGTCCATTCACATGTAGTTACTGTAGTCCCAGAGAACTGTGCCCCTTTTCTAGATAGATTATCTTTATCCTTCAGATTACAACAGAATGTACACTCCTCATTACATCATCATGGGATCTCATATATTAGAGAAATCAAACTATTAGAAAGCATGACAGTAAGGACGTGACACAAACCTAGATATATCTGGAAAGAAGGAATATCAACTGAGGTACTGTCTCCATCAGATTTGTTGATATATGCAGGTCCTTCCCACTATGAATGTTTTTAATTTTCTCACACATGAAAACCATATCTGTGAATTAAATCTACTTTATAAAGCAGGTTGGCTTTTTTTCTTTTTTGTCACTTAATTTCAGAAAGACAACTTTATTAGAATAACTTATATAGTGCTACTCTCATGGGATTATAAAGAACAGTAATTACTTAGATGATGTGTGCCTTCTAGTAATATTTTCCAATCAATTTTTAGCATTGTAATTTTCTTACTTATTTCCTGGAAATAACAGATATTTTTATTACTTTTTTCACATCTTTAACAGGTTTAAATATTCCAAATTTCAATGACACAACTAAATTGGCCTTGTTGTTAATGAGATTGATATTCTACTTAAGCTGATGTTTCAGACACTCATTAATAGTAAATGTTATACTATTTATATCCATTTATTAAATTAGTTGTTACTTCAATAATTATCCATTGCTTACTTTGTTAAAAACATTTATATGGACTAGAGGGCATACAAGAATAAGAATAGAATTAGTCTACATTCTCTGTACATTGTCATTTTGGTAGGGCAGATAACACATATGTCTACAAATATGATATGTTCAAGTAGTGACAGATGGCTGTAGAGAAGAAGATTTTAACATGTTGTTGTTGAAGAAGGAAGTACTCTGAGAGGGCTGTGAGCTAAGAAGTGTCTGCCAAGGTTAGTCATATGACATGGGAAACAGTTTAGGTCAAGGAGGGATAACTGCCCTCAAGAACCAAATAAAATTCAGACTAAATATGAACCTCTAAGAACAAATGATGTGGAGGAAGGCATGGCAAGACTGCAGAGTGTTTACAGAAAAGAGCAGTGTACTTCCATGAATAACAGTTTCCATGGTATACAATTAAACTTCCAGAAGTAGTCAGGAGTGCTAATATTTCTATGTCATAGAAAAGCAATTTAAAATTGACATAATTTGTGTAGCTTGACCAAAAAGCTTTTTTTGAACATGTGAGATTTGGTTTACAGATTCCATAGTTACCCCATTACAGACACCTACCTTAACAATGGTCCATTGTTCCCTGCACACCCCCAACCCCAGTTTAAGGCAATGGTTCTCACACTTCCAAATGCTGTGACCTTTGAATACAGTTGCTTATGTCATGCTTACCCCCAACCCTAAAATTACTGTCATTGCTACTTCATAACTGTAATTTTGCTACCATTATGAATTTTAATGCAAATATCTGTGTTTTCTAATGGTCTTAGGTGATCCCTGTGAAAGAGTCATTGGCCCCTCAAAAGAGTCAAGAATCACAAGTTAAGAACCATTGTTTTAGAGAACAGATGGCCTTTAACTCACAGAGATAGATGCCTGAATCTGCCTCCAGTGTCCTAGGATTAAAGGTTTAAAGGAGTGAGCTACCACCAATGGGTTTAGCCAGGCAGTGGTGGTGCACACCTTTAATCCCAGCACTCAGGGGGCAGAGGCAGGCAGATCTCTGTGAGTTCAAGACCAGTCTGGCATTGTTTTAAGGACACTTATATTCTCCCTTTATGACATAATCTTTCCTGAAAAATCTCTCATCTCCAGATAAATGTTTTACTTATATTTAGAGATTTCCCCTTGGCAAACATTTTAGTGCTAATTATCACAATCAACACATTTGAAACTAGTTGGAATTTTCTAAGCTTTATTAAACTATAATAGATATATTTTAAATGTCCAAATTAAATATGCACATCTTCATGTGGTTGGACATATCCATATAGCCAAAATATGTCACCAAAGCAAAGGCACTGAGTGCACAGAGCACCCATCTCAAATGTCCTTGTACTATATTCTTATGAGTTTTAACTAAATCTATTAACTCCAGTGTTGTAGACACCTTAGATCTCAATCCTTTTGACACAAGCAGAGGGTTGTGTCAAGCTGGGACAAACTGTCTAGAATTTTGTATTTAAAGGAATGAAATTATTAATTTCTCCAAGAGGAAAAAATAAATAATGTATTTAATCAAACTAAAATGAAATAAAAAATACAAGCAGCTCCCAGTTTGAATGGTGACACTCCCAAATGAATAAGCTGCCCAGAAAACATCGATGAAGAAATGAATTTTATTCTGAACAGAAAGGAGGTTTGAAACAGATGGAATCTTTAACGGGTAGGATGATAAAAATCTAATCAAGTTTTGCTAAACAAGATTGAGTGGTTAGAAAACCATACCTGATTGTATATTGCTAGACTCTAGGGTTGGGCAAATTCTGGAGATGATTTGATTGAAATTATGGAAATACGAATTCCTAAGTTCCTGGGGACTGAGACATCAGGCAATATAATCAGAGTAAAGGGGAATTTCAGATGCCATGGACAGCTCCAGAAATCACAGACAACAAGATGCTTCCACATTTCTAACTGCTGATACGAAGAAGGCATAGGCATACCCACACAGGGATGATAAAAGGCTTCTTAAAACAACCATTGTTTCTGCCAATCTTAGGAGAGCAGGTACATGAGAGATAAATCTTCCACTTATTAGGGCTTTACAGCAAAGAACTGTGATAAACAAAGCCTGCAGGGAAATTCTTACCTAAGAGAGCCAGCGTTTGTTTTCCCTGCTCTTGCCAAGCTCTGTGTTAATAAGATTTAACAGCAACACATAACGCTGTGGAAGTCGGAACAGTCTACTTGACCTTCCATGGAAATACTCGCAGCTATGTCATGCAGAATGGGTCTTGGGTGCCAGAACGTAATTTTTGGTTTGTTTGATTCATTTGTTTTACATTATATATAGTGCATAAATGTGTGTATATATAAAAGAAAGACATATTACACATTTATTTATTATTTAAATTATATATTATATAAATATACACTTAGGGTATACATCATATTTGTACATAGATAATGAATATGTATACATACACATGTGCGTAATATGTGTGTGTTTATACTTACACTTTGGGTCACCTATTCAAATCCTACTCTGCTCCATTGCAGCAATTATTAACTATATTTTTAATGGCAAAAGAAGGGCTTGTAACTGACAAATTAAAGATTAAAATTTTTGACTTGAAGATATAAATTTATCCCCGTTCCCTTAGACCCTTTCACTTCATCTCATTTAAAATCGATTTTTTTCCTTCACATAATATCCCTATTACAGTTTCTCCTTCCCCACTCCTCCGATTTTCATCCCACATTCCATCTCATCCATATGGACTCCCTTTTTCTCTCTCATTAGAAAACAGAAAGGATTCTTAGGAATAATGATAAAATAAAGCATAGTAAATTAAAACAAAATAACACATCAAAATTGGACAAAACAAACAAACTCAAGGAGATCCATAAAAATCCTAAATTGGAAGCTATCATAGACAAAGGGATGTACATAATATACACATACCATACACAGAGAGCCTGGTACAGACCCACACAAGTCCTGTTCACGCTGCCTCTGTCTCTGCGAGTTCATATGTGCTTTGATCCTGTTGACTTAGAGGTTTTGTTTTCTTGGTGTCCTCTGGGCACTCCCGCTCTTGCACTCAGGCTTCTCTGGGCCCTGAGGGGAGGGATTTGATGGAGAGACATTCTGTTTACAGTTGAATATTTCAAGGTCTCTCACTTGTAATGGCTGGTTGTGGGTGAAAGGTTCAGGCTTCATACTGGCCTGCCCCTGTTACCTGGCAGAATGCACTAAGGCAGCACTCTAGCCATACCAGAGTTCCATGAAAACCAGTCTGCATGCAGGTGCAAAGGGCCCCTTTAAAAGACAGACCCCTGCCCACTTAGGCTCTCTCATGTTCCTCTCTCTCTCTCTCTCTCTCTCTCTCTCTCTCTCTCTCTCTCTCTCTCTCTCTCATCTCATCCTCTCTCATCATCTCTTCTCTCTCATCTTTCTCTCTCTCTATCATGTCTGTCTTCTCCCTTTCAGTCTCACGATAATAAACTATGATTAATATGCTTTCGATGGCTTGTGCTCCATCTATCATGCTGGTCCTTATTCCATAATTAACAACAGTAGGTCTCTGTATTTGTTCCTATCTGTTGCGAGAAGAATTTTCTCTGATGATGGTTGAGCAAGACACTGAGGATCTCTGAGGACCTGTGGGAGGGAAAACTGTAATCAGTATACTTGGTATGAATTTTTCTTTTTCTTTTTTGAAGACAGGGTTTCTCTGTATTGTTTTGGAGTCTGTCCTGGAACTCACTCTATAGACCAGGCTGGCCTCGAACTCACAGAGATCTGCCTGCCTCTGCCTCCTGAGTGCTGGTGAAATTTTTTTCTAATATATTCCTAATAATCCCTACAAGACTTCCTATCTATCAGATCTACCCCCAACACATTACAATCACTCCCTATTGTACCCAACATAAATTGCTCTCTCTAGTAATTTCTATGATTTGATGATTTAGAAGTGAGGTTGTACTGTGACGCTGGTATCCATTTGTTTTAATCTATCCAATTTGACAAGTCTACTGAATTTCATCGCAGTTGCGTTGTTTCACAGACCTTCCCTAGACCAGTCCTTTCCTTGATTTCACAGGGATCTACATTTTTTTTACTTTGGTCTTCTCTAGTTCTGACTGGTCTATTTCCCATTTTCTAAAAGAAAACTATGTTATGAAGCAACTGTGTCTGATATCACGCTGCAAACTTCAGCTTAAAAAATATTTTTGTACCAGGTACATCCACAACCCTTTATCCATCCTCATATCTGGCCAAACTTAGGAGTGGACTGTGGGAATCACAAGATTCCTACCTAAGCCTTTCTCATTGTTTATCTGCTGTTTGCTCTAAACTTCCCCCTTCCCCTTGCAGTCAGTTCCATTCCCCTGATTCACCCTGAACAATTTATAAAACAAATGCAGTCTTCCTGTGGTTCTTGTAAATCATTCACAACTTCTCCAACTCTAAGTTCACAAACTTTAACCCTTCGTTCTTCGAACATACTGAGACAGCCATCCGCTGGCCACAGTCCTCTTCTTATGGGGTCTACTCCAGAGATTGAATTTACCTTTACAAACTATCTAAAATCTGAAATGAATGCAGCCATTCTTTAATGAAGGATGCCTGAATTCTTCCCCTATATGAGCATCTGACGATACTTGTCACATCCAGCAACACAGAGACCAGTACTTTGTGAAGTGGCAAGTAGTTAATTGGTGATTGTATAGACTGAAGTCCTAATTAACTTTTAAATTCAGCCATTGGCTTTGGTTCAAAATGAGGCACATTTATTCTTCATTCATTAAAACAAAATTAAATAAACACACAAAATAACCACATCTTCAAACACTTTAGGCAAGATTCTCTCTTTTACTACTTTTATCGAATTTTCATCACATCTACTCCTGTTAAATGCATGATAATGTGTCAGTGATTCCATTTAAGAAGAGAGCAGAGTTATGAAGCAACTGAAATGAGTTTCAAACAGACATTATAGAAATGTGTTCACTCTCATGTCCTCAATACCTGGAACACCACTGCCTACCACATAGTGGTAATCAATACATAACCACTAATTAAATGAATGATATAAATGGGCATATTTCTTATATGCCATACTCAACTCAGCATATAATAAATAACCAAGAAGAGTGCTTTTTTATAATTGACTTATTGTAAATATGTTACACAACTTAACACTTACTTTGTCTGGGCCAAATTTGCTTCACTGTGAATTTCTTTTATTTGTGCCTTTACCTACACTGTACTGAGTTCAATATATTACTTACACTCAAGTTAGTTTTCAAGCTTTTACTATTGCATTAAATTGTCTTACATAACAGTCTTTTGGGTTAAAACTTTTCTGAATCACAATGCTATAACACAACGCATTAAGGTTTTTGTTTTAGCTTTATGTCATCCACCTGCTGGAATTCAATAATTTCCTAGGCATATGGTGAAAAGCATTGGACTTTATTTTGTGTATATTCTTGCATTTTTTTAGAAACTTGGATAGAGTTTTGCTAACACATCTACTACTCTGTCATCTTCCTGAAAGTCTCCTATTTTTATTTTTTGGTTGTGAGCCTAGCCTTTAACAGCTGAGCCATCTCTCCAGCCCAGTCTCCTATTTTTAGTAAGCTGCCATCCACGTCATTATTACATGTTAATTAAAAAATACACATGCTATACAATTTCACAATAAAAAGCTGCCCGATCATTGGGTCAAAAATTTGTTCATTTAGTGACAAATTAATGAACACTTACTATGCACCAGTCACTTTTTGACCTATGTTGACAGAAGCAATAAACTCATAAAATACTGGTAGATACTACTTAGTACTTGCTGAAAAATTGAAAGACAGTGGTATGATTTGAGCACAACCATGCATACTTCAGTTAGTGGCAACAGAGAAGGTTCCTAAGGTAATTTTTGAAAACAACTGGGTGAGAGAGACAGATATTCAGGAGTTTGGATGTAATTATTCTTGGCCAATTTTAGGAACATCAAGGACAACAGGACAGCTTACAGAAACACCAGCGCTGAAGAAATTAATTGTCCAGTAGTTGTTTGATATGAGTAAGTGAGTCATTATTTACTCACACAGTTGAGTCACTGCCTTGCTTCTTTCCTTTAATATGCAGAGCAAACAAAGGAAAAATGCCAAAGGTGAGGCTGAGCCCAGATACCCGTTGTATCTCATATTGCCTTAAACAATAACTCGAAGGCCCAGCTCCATTTTCGCCCCTGATAAAACATGGGGATTATCCATCCAGTTGTCATTACTACAACATGTTGTTCTATCCACTTTGCTTTCACTATTCTGCTAAACATGTATGCTATATAATTTCCCTTGAGTCTTACACGTTGTTTGAATATCCATAAATGACTTGTTGCAAGCTGCAATACTGTTAGTAGTTACAATCCAAGAATCTTGTCTACTAAAGATTTCAGTTTCCTACTTGAGTCAAACAAAGTACTATTACCAGAGTACCAATTGTGTTATCCAAAAGCTTTATCACTCATTGACTCAATATCACTTAACCTAGTATTCTTATACTTTCATTCACTGCCTTCAGTATGGATAAAGTTAATTTTCTGTAGTTGAGTATGGCTTTCAAGAGGCATAAGTCCTACCAGATTCACATTTAGAAATTTTCTTTTTGACTTAAATTAGGTCTAATGAGTTGAGTTACAATTTGATATATGCTAATTTTATAACCTGTGAAATGGAGATGATACTAAAACTTCTTGGGTGGGCACTGACAATGATCTTTAACAATAGTGTGTGTCCTTTAGCTTAGGAAGTCGTTCTATCCCCATAGACATTTTCTGTGATGGGACAAAGTCAAGCTTTCAAACATGTCTTCAAGCCCCTATATATCTTTTTCATTACACCTTCCCCCATCTTATCAGGCAAATCTCACATATACATGCCTCTGCTACCTCTTTCATATCTCTAGAGAGTTGACTTTATAATTTCTACATATTACACATCCCTAATATTGTATGTTCTTTATTTCCATATGACTACAAGATTGTTGAAGGTTATAATGAACATTCAGGTGTACTTTACCCCAAAATAATTCTAGAGGAACAGTGTATGTAAAAATAGGTGTCTATGTACAATGAAGTTATGTATATGATATTGTGTGATATAATGTATGTGTATATATTGTAGATAGAGGCTATATGTGCAGTACCTAGCAAGAGTGAAACAATCTGGCAATCTGACAATATGTTTAAGATGTCATAATCCATCACTTCAATTTTGTACTACTAAGGAAATGTCACTCATCACTGACCCTTAGCTCCTCATTTCCATATCACAGCTCTGTGCTGAAATTAACTTAGTATATACTGGAAACCTTAGTCACTCTTCTCCCTTTTCTTTATATACAGTGTCCTCTTTGTGTACCAGAATAGCTTGCACATGATAGATGCACATAGACATATATTACGGCACAAGCCACAGAGTAGTCGCAGCGTAGCAGAGAATGCACAGCTTACAAAGGTCATGTGGGCACATAAAATGCCACTTTCTATGAGTTAATTGCACTAAATTTTAGTAAGAGAAAATTTTTAATCCTAAGCATAATTTTTGGATGGATATATATATATATATATATATATCAAATGACAGATCTCAAGTTAGTTTTGTTTCTTTTACTTGTTTTTATCATTTTCCCATTTTATTCACTATGTTTTTCCTCTTTTCTTTTCTCTTTTTTTGTTTATATGCTGTTGTTTTTATTATAGTTATCTGTTAATATTTATGTACTTATTTGTTTAGTCATACCAGGTATCAAATCCAGGAGAAAGTATTATATACACTAGACAATGGCCTACCAGTGTAACCTTAGACCCGTACACTACATGTGCAAAATTGATATGGATGTATTTTATTTAAATAATTGTCAGACACCTAGAGTAACAGAACTAGCTTATTATAATTTACTTATAATAGCCTCTAAGTATTTGGGACAGCATAAACTTGACTGAATTTTTTTGTTTATTTATTTATTTATTTATTTATTTATTTATTTATTTATTTATTCAGTTTAAATTTAGATAAGAAACAAGGTTGCTTCACAAGTCAGTTCCAGGTCCCTCTCCCTTTCCCTCCCCTCCTCCCATTCCCTCCCCCCAAACCCCCATTATCCCCTCCTTTCCCCAGGGAGGGTGAGGCCCTCCATGGGGGTGTCCATAGTCTGTCATTTCATATAGGGCAGGGTAGACCCTTCCCCAAGAGTTCAGGGTGAGAGTGCACCTCACATTGTTGGATAGGAGTCCAAAGTCCATGTGTATACTCGGGATGGGTACTGATCTGCTGCCCAAGGCTCAATAAATTACCTAGGCCTCCTTACTGACACCCACATTCAGGGGGTCTTGATCAGTCCCATGCTGGAAGAGTTAACCTTTGTCAGGTCAGCTGTTTCTGGGGATTAAACCAGCCGAGTCTTAATCCCTTTGGTCATCAGTTCTCCCTCTCTGTTACTGGCTTTCTTGAGTTCAGCTCAGTACTTATCCGAGGGAGTCTGCCTCTTCTTCGATCAGCCACTGAATGAAGTTTCTGTTTCCCAGACTCTCTGGCCATGGGATTGTAGGCTGGCACTCCCCAACTTGAAACTCATGTTTGTTGTTTGAAATTTAC